AACTTCATTAACTTGAATTCATGCATAATTTGACATGATGACAAATTTTTTCTTGTTTCAAATCCTTAATAGAATGTGGCATAATTAATGTTTGTTTCCTTCTTCGTAATTATAATACCTACTCATTGTGCTATCGTCAAATTCAGAAGATTTTAATTTTAAGCGAAAAAAAGAGTGACGAGTCCGTATCCAGATGTACAATTTTTTTCTCATTGTTATTGTTCATGTGAATGTTTATTATAATACTGCATTTTCGTCGCCGCGAATCAGGCCGTCTAGCTGGTTTCCTCTTTTGCAAAGGTGGAAGTAAGCTTCACGAATGCGAACGTCGGGTATGTAGCTGTGATTAGTTCAAACAAACCATGAAGAGACGCCCACTCCTGCAATGCTTCCTCACGCTATGTTTATTTCCATTATCTAGTTACTTTAATTCATATTTATATTTTCTTTGTGTGTTTAAATTTGTGACATTTAAATATTTGTAACATTTGCTCCCATTTTTGGAACCTGAGGTTTTATCAGCTGGGAAATACGTTCCATTTAGCTTATTTCAACAGCTTTTCCCTCTCTAGAACGGCGAAATAAACATTTGCCTTCCATTATTTGCATCTTGATTTAACATCACCTTTCCAACCTTTGCATTTGAACACATTCCGCCATAAATAACATACAACGTAGGGTTTCATTTTGCTAACGATTAGTATAGTTCAAGGTCAGTTTTTATATTTTTCCCTGGTTTTTGTAACTTTGTACACATCTCTACACGTTTGGATTAACAAAACAAACATTGGGACAGTTTTGTCAAAATACTGCCATTAAATTGTAGGCCTTTCCTTGTTGAACGCATGCAGTAGGTATATTATGTATATATTGGGATAACTAAAGTGTACATTTCATAATTAGTATAAACAAAATACATCCATAAATAAAAATAAACCAAACAATAACCGTACAACTTTAATTAGACAGCTAGATGCTACATTCCCAATCCTAGTCCTTGTCTCCAACCTCCCCGCTCATTCGCCATATTTTCGTCTAAGCCCCTGTTTCTCATCAGTTTCTTTATTCCTTGGCTCTATAATTTGCGCGGACGTCCTCGTCTGTTTCTTCCTGGGGGCTTCCATATGAACACTTGTTTCGGCCATCGTAAATCCTCCATTCTGAGAATGTGGCCAAACCATACGAGACTTCTTCTTTCAATACGATCAATAACCGTTTTGGTTGCTGACATTATGTTCCTAATTTCCTCATTTCTTACTCTTTCCAGTCTCGATGTTCGAGTACTTCTATTTAAATAGTCCATTTCGACAGCGGTTATACGTCTTTTGTCTTCCTCTTTCATTGACCATATTTCACACCCATACATTAATACGAATTCTACCATTGTTTGGCATTTAAAGCCCCAATTACTTTTATTTGCCTCTTGTATACTGTATCTCATGTTTCGGCTACCTATTCCGTTACCGGCCACAATGTTTCCAAGATACTTAAACTTATCCACTTGTTTAACCAAAGCGCTATCATTAATTAACACCTCAAATTTCGCATCGGAATTTACCACCAGGTATTCTGTTTTTTCGAGACTTACTTCCAAACCCCATTTTTTGTATTCTTCATATAATCTAGTCAACATGAATTCCATGTCAAAAGAATCTTGTGCTAAGGCAACCTGGTCATTTGGAAAACTTAATGTGAATAGATGGGCCTCTTCATTAGGTAAACCCATACCCTCCCACTTCCGTTTCCATTGTTCCACCGCCCTTTCCACATAGATATTAAATAAAAGTGGGGATAAACTGCATCCTTGTCTGAGGCCTTTGGTGGGATATATTGGTTCGGACAACTCTCTTCCTTCTTTGATATACGCTATGTTGTCTCAGTGTCTCTGTACAGATCAGAAATTATCCGTACCAGATAGGAATTGGTTGCGATTGATTTGAGTGAACTACTACTAGCTTAGTTCTTGGTACGTTATCGTATGCTTTTTTAAGGTCTATGAAGGTTAAGTGCAACTCTTGGTCTTTTGCTATCTTTTTGTTCATTACTTGTTGTAAAGTCCACAAATTATTTTCAACACAGGAGCGACCTGGTGTAAAACCGCTTTGATCGTCTCCGATAAATATCCCTAGGTCTTGCCTTAGCCTTCTTTGAATTAATCTGCCCCATAATCTACTTAATGAGCTCGTTACACATATTCCTCGATAGCAATTTGGGTCTTTTCTATTCCCTTTTTTGAATAGCGATGAAATAATTCCAACCTTCCACTCTTTAGGTGTTTTTTGTTGTGTTAAGCAAAGGTTTAAAAGATCTACTAATCTTTGCAACATTTCTTCACCCCCATACTTGACTAGCTCAACTGGTATGTCCCCCGGTCCTGCCAACTTTCTGTTCTTCATCTGCGATAGACACTCCTGTAGCTCATCCTTTTTTATCAGTTCGTATTCTCTATTCTCCTCCAGCTGTATGTTCTGGTTGAGGAATGCCGTTGTTGTTTTTGTTAATAGATTGTTGCAATATTCATGCAGTATATGAAATATGAACATGTTGAGTCTTCTTCGTTTCATTGCTCATCAGGAATCTGTCAAGGTTCAAATTTAGGACCACCGTTCTTTACGATGTATGTGAATGACATCGCAAACTGTACTGCATCTGTAAATGCCAAATGTATGCTGATGACTTGAACATTGTGAGCATAAAAACAAATAAGTTTGGATTAAATAATACGTGCATAAGCAGATATTATGAACTTAGACATTTACGTGTGATTATAGAGTCTGGTTTTATATATGTGTAGTATATTAATCATGTTGGTAAACATGTATGAAAACACTGAGTTCAATATTTAGAAATACAATTTACACATGTTAATACATTCATATAAAAATATTCATATACAACGCTCATGCAAACTCCAAACTGAAATCGTGTGGAATCTGTATTATCATGTTCGTGTAGACGTGTTAGTAAGTAGGTATGTTTAGTTGTATGATGAGGTGACTGAAGAAGGGGATTAAAAAAAATAGCTATAAAAATGAAAAACCTAACCTAAAAATTTAATTACGGCATATTTAATAATTTTTAATTATATGCATTATTTCAATATAGTGATGAAATCGAAATAAATTCATCAAGATTATTTAATTAGATTGTGGGCCGACCGAATCGCCACATGAAATAAATAGAACAAAGTAAATACGGTCAAAATCAAAATAAAGGGATTTCTAGAGTGGCGTAACTTGAGAATAAATGTTCAAATTCACGCTGTAAGAAAACGAGTAGACTCGTTTTAAGTCAACGATGATATTAATTTAACTGATGATAATTTTCGAAGTTCTTTCTCTCAAAATGGATCAGTGTTTAAGATTAGTTTAACTGCTGGATTCTGTATTAGATAGTTTAACTGCTATACATGAACTATTTTACATATTTAGTTAAAAGTTATGAAGTATGAATAGTATAACAACCCAGAGAAAATCCATTCAGAATTTTGGTCTCATTAAAATAAGTTGAGCCTGAACAACCATGAATGGTTTTTTTATAGGCGCGAAAATTAATTTTTAAATCGAGACACCACTGTATATTACCTATTATGTTTCTTTTTTCCGTGATGTAAACTGATATGTTCATCACGTGTAATGGCTTATTCGTTGAACTAATAAAAATTATTATTATTATACAGTGAGTAAATAACTATGGGTCAACAAAACTAAGTTTTCACAGTAACCAGTAAGTTGTTTATTATATCTATTAGACTTTTAACATTAATTTATATGAGGACAATGACTGACCACATATGGCGAGCGAAAACTTTTATCATGATTTTAAGAACATCATCTCCAACTTTTTTTACAAGTTTTGAGTTAACACGTGATTTTAACTGTGTTTAAAGGACTGACCAAAGTGACGTGATGGCCATAATAGTCTACTCCAGTTGGAAATTTTTGGATGGCTCGTTACTGTTAAACGCATTTTGTGACAAACACGGAATGGACACAGTATTACTGAAGTTTGAAGATTGATTATTAAGTGCTGATGACCTACAAGTAGATATATTTTAAAAGTTGACGTAATGTGTACATAGCACCTATGCTTTTTTTTTAAATTGCCATGTTTTTATTTTGCGACACCAAAGTATGGAGAATAAACACTGCATTTTTTTCCTCTACTTCTCTGACGAAAAGTATTCATTTTTTACCATTTTTCTGTTCTAGATTTATTTAAAGAAATAGGAGCATATATATCCATACTGGAGTATGAATCATTTTAACTCAAATGAATGCTTTCCAATTTAAATTTATTAAGGACAAACGAGAAAGATCAATTAACTTTGAAACGTGCTCTCCTCAATCAGTTTCATAAATTATAGCTAACGTCACACTGATACTTACCTCTCATGTTCCATTGCGAGAGAAATTTGGCACGTCTGAATATAAGAAAATAGTAGTAATTGGCTAAGGGCCTACAATGATTTATTATTGTCGGTGTTATCTTCTACCATCTTCTGTTTCGATGAAACAATAAATCTTGATTAATTTATGGGGGATTATTGGTGTGTATTGATTTAGCGCCGTATCGTGCTGTATCCATATTGGTCAATTTGTTCATAAATGCGGTAATTGGAGCTACTATAGGGGATATCTTTAATAAAAAACATCAGCTCTCCATTATCGTTATAAATTTTTTAACACGATTGAAAAGAATGGGCCATTTCTATTCCAACTTTTATTGTCGGCGTACTTTCTTATTGTGAAAGGATTCCCACAATTTATCTCCAGGTCAGTGGAGCAAGACCAGTAATGCAACGCCCAAGCTTGAAAGAAGTTTTGAGCAACTAAAACTCCGTGTTTTTTTCACTATCAATATATTTGCTCCACATTATCGATGCATACAAGCGATTAGTTTTTGCTGCAAACACCAAACTGTCGTTTGGTAAATAATAACTTTATAGTTGACAAAAGAAGCTGTAAACTTCAATTATTCTACTGTTAAAAGACACAAACTTTTACAGAGAATTTATTTACACAGAGCTTAACTTTGTGATAACAAAATACTTTACACAGGGATAAAATTGTAAATACTTAACTAATTAAATATATAAATACCTCAACAATTATTTACAAAAATTTGGGTGCAATCAAAGCAATGACGCTAACAACCGCTAGTGACGCCAGGCTAATTTTATCTGCTCCGCTTTTCTCGTTACAAAAATCTTCGACACAAGTATCACACGTTATTTCGACCTCTTCCTTTTTGTGTTTAATACAATCGTATTTGCCATCCTTGGCTCGGTTGACACAGCTTTTTTCGATGGTGTTTTCTTTTGCATTTTCATTTGCTTTGTAGATATGGGTTAGACATGCAGCTTCAGAAGTGGAAGTGCTTGCTTGACAGGTCTGGTCTTCTAACATACTGCATGTAGCATCCTTGCACATCTTACATTTCAGTGCCCAACCTGAAAATTAATGGGAAACCAATAGTAGTTTTTTGAGGTTATTTTATTATATTTGTTAATGCAATGTTTTAGGTGTAGTCATTATTTTTACATCGATTAATTCGAAGTAAGTAAATCTAGAATTTAATAGTGTACAGAATTTAGGAACTAATTTATTCGAATGAAAATAATGTACTAACAAACCAAAACGCGTTGTGAACAATATTATTTGAATTTATCCCTTATATTGTCTATATTATGTAATGATTAATTCAGCGTTTCATGCTGTTTAATTAAGATTCTACAATGTCTTTCATGTGTTCAGCATACTGAACGTACAAAGTCGAAGTGAAACACATCTACATATTCATGCCTTGGTTTCTCCTTCACATTGTTTATCATATATACAAGGCGTTGGCTAAATTAATAACAAGAATTATAATTTTTATGGTCTTTAGAATCGAAAATCACATAAAACAAATAAAGGACTCTTCATTACACTATTCAACAAGTATTAGTTCTAAAGATTATAGTGTTATCGTGCATTAACTTATAACGAAGCGAATTTTCGCGGGCCGGAAACCGTGACGCGTACCGCGAGAGCCGGAGGTAAATTCGTGATCGCCGCGCCGCCGCGGCGGGAGAAGAGGATTCTTGCCTGAAGTCTTCGACTGTGAAGAAGTGCAGTTTTACCCTCCGACCTCCGTAAGTACCTTTTTGGGTCGCCTGCCTGTTTTGTACCGGTTTTCGAATCGCCGCCCCCGAGCGAAAAACCGTGTCACCGTCACCGCGTTTATTTTGTCACCGTCAAAAGTCGAAACCGTCGTGCACGCGTCGTTACCGTCACCGCGCTCCCCTCCCGGATCGCCGTGCCGTCTTCGCGCGATTTCCAGAACTCAAGGTCGCCGCCCCCAGAGCCAAGAGGAGCCCGTCCTGAGGGAAGTCGCTGCCCAGGAGGAACGACCGTGGCTGACGTTTAATTTAATTTTGTTCGTAAAACCGTTTTGTTAGATATTTAAGTTTAGCCGTAAGATTTATTATTTTAGACCGTGTAGCTGGTGGCAGGGGATAAATCCTATTTATTATATAAAATTTACTTGCCGTTTTATTTACTATTCGCGGGTTTTCGCGGAGGCTCACTACCTGAATTACGTGTCTTCGGCTTTAGAGCACCCCGGCGCTCCCTCCCCCGAAGAGGGAGCTGGCGCCCGAGCGACCGCCGCTCCTGACCGAAGGCGCCACCCCCGGTGGCGTGAAGGTAGCCGCATAAGCTTGATCGACCAGACGTGTTTCTGACATCAGCGATACTAGTCGACCCATAGTTTCGCACCCAAGTACACCGCCACACCATACGTTATCGGCGAGATTCCAGACCGTCCGGAATTTCGTCGCAAACTGTAGAAAAATATATAGAGCGTTTCATTTATTTATATTCTTCCACCACCAGATAGTTCGGGCACTCTATATATAACAGGATCAGAAATAATGGGAGGTACCATAAAATATTTCAGAATGTTTTTTCAGACTGTCCCCGGTTGTACGAATCAAGTAATTACTCCACAATATTACGTACACACTTTTTGAATAAAAACTACTTTGGACTGGTTTAATTTCAAGGATACTGATAAAAGTAATTTATGCATTTTGTTTTCAACAGCACAGGAACAACTAAATACTCATCATCGAATATTTTATGCAGTGTGGTACAGTGGCGGCTGGTGGGTCAAAATTTCGGGTCGGCCAAATATTTTGAGTCTACACCTTGGTGTTATATATTTTCGTAATGTATGGCTGCTACTCATTAACCACTGACATTTTACGCGCCAGGATATACAAAACATCTCAAATGTTTCGACCTGTTAAAATAATTTTTTATAGGAAATTGACAATGTCAGTTTGATTCCAAATACTATTAATCCTTAATTCTACTTGTTCTGCTTTATCATTAATTGAGAACCACCGAAAACATTATTTTTACTGAGTTCCGCGTCGACCGGCGGCTATACGGCTTGCCGACCCCGGACATCCACAATTAAATAATAATAATTAAATAATGACATGCAGTTAAAAAATATAAAAAAAGTAATAATAAAAGTACCAACTGTTAACTATCTTCATTTACATTTATTTATTTTTAATGTATATGACAAATTGTCAAATAAATTAATTGAATAATTGAAAAATTAAAATGATTTAAAACTTTAAATTCGTTTCTGAAATATCTGAAAACGCTTAGATGCTAAAAATACAGAAAAAGCGCATTTATGTTGTAGCTAAGTTATGTACGAAAAATAAAATTTTAGATAATTTAATGTAATTTTTTTCGTTTATTATTCATACACAGAAAAATGTATTAAATCGACAATTATTATTTAAAAAAAAATAGTATGCACTGAAGAACATCGAAGCCGTTATTGTTTTGTAATTTGGTTAGCTATCTTAAATATTAAGCGTTTTAAAAACTAAATTCGCGTTGCTGGGTACGGCGAAGGAGGATTTCGCCGGACCTGGCACAACATACGTTCCGCCAGGTCTTTGTCTACTACAGTGTACTAGACAAAGAGAACGATGAAACCGTAAGCTGCTACGAAGTCGAAATCTCAACGGCAAAGCGTGTTTATCAGCATTTAAAATTAGCAACAAATGCTTTATTTTGTACCTACAATATAATAAAATATATTTTTAATATATATGATCTATCCTAACGTACATTCAAACTTTATTTCTTTTTTTATTTTCTAATTTCAACGCTTACTAAGTATTTTAAAATGACTGGTACGGCGTGGCCGACCCTGCCGCCCCTGACCAGCCGCCCCTGGTGTGGTACCTGGTCAGGTTTTTTCTGACGTTTATTTATGCGTAAATTTATAACGAATTTTTGAATGTATAACAATTTACATTAATTTAACAATCTAATAAAACTTGTATATTATTTGACCGGTTTCAATTAATGGAATTTAAAAACATAAAAATGAGCCTTTTTATTTTTTGTTACTTGTCACATTTTTAACTAAAAACTGCTATAGGCAGTTATTTTGATTTGCATAGATAAGGTTTTAAGTGAAAGCTAGGGCGTCAAGTGCGTCTCGTACCGCATGTCACTACTTATACGGATGTCTAACCAATTCGATTACGTCATCAAGAAACGGAATCAGTAACCAACAAAACGCGTCACGATTTAAGAATAATAGACGAAATTGCACAAATTCCAGTTTTGGTGTCATTGTCATTAGCTGTAAATCATACTCAAGTCGTATGCCAGCTGTAAAATACCTGTAGAATGTATTTCCACAAGTTTTACATTTCAAAAGTATAAAGACTTAACAAAAAGTCATTCTTATGAAGTGGAGCACTAATAAGAATTTGTTCAAGACGATTTTGACAAGAATTTTGTCAATTTATGACTGCAAATATAAATAATTATCTTTAATAACATTTAGATACAGTGATAGATACTTTTTTTTATTTTTTAATACAAATTTAAAATATGATTGATTGGACTTCGCTAGCCCTTAATATTATACAATATAATATAACATTTTTTGAAACATGAACAAAAACTGGTCGACAGGACCTCCCTCGCCCCTGAAACATAGTCAAACAAATCCCGCTTCTTTGAAAAATAAAAAAACATGTTTCAGCGATTTTTATTTGTGAAAACCATTATATATTAAAACAAATATAGATAACAACATGCTAAATGAGATCCTATAAATGTGTTTCGACACCTTATATTGCTCTGGAAATTCCTGTAGATTTTCTTTTTATGATTCGAACACATTATGGTACGAAAACACTGTTAACTTGTTTGTATTTGGTTTGTGTAATTCACCACCTATGATAGGAAACGAATTAATAATTGCTCTAAAAATATAAATGCATTGATAAAACGCAAGATTATGCTTGTATTTCTAGTCAGTTTTCCTATTTGAAAATGTTCCGATCAACATTATTCCAACAACGACACGTATGTCAATTCAGACACGTGCAGTGTAATACCAATAATAAAACATTGGGATGTACTGTTCTGGAGATTTGATCACTGCAAAAAATAGATAATGACACGTTACAAGCCCGAAGGCACACTTTACACGATAAGCTAACGAATAACCCTAATAACCCTAGTACAACAAGTTACTGTACATATAATTTCGGTTTTTTTTTGCGAAAATTTGGATGCCTCAGGGAAAATCTCAAAGCGAATTCATAAACAACAAGTACATCGATACATATGTAATTTTATAAAACTGAAATCCTACTTACTAGGAACAATTTTGACGGGATGTCACCACATTGTTGGGAATTGAACACTTCTGCAACCGATATTACTGGGTTTCACAAAGAAGGTCCGAAAATACTATGCTGGTATAATTTAGAAGCCAAACCAGCACAGTGTTATAAAGTACTTTTTGCATCATGCTATTGTTAGCTTTTGTTACAAAAAAAGCAATATGTTCTACAAATTTTAACTGATTGTCTAAACATAAGCCAAGGTTTTTAAAAAAAAAAGATGGAAATAAGATGCTGTCGCCAATTTCTACATTTAGGCTTAAGCTATGGTAAAGTTTAGAAGGTATATTTAGTTATAAACTTACATTTGTTTTCATTTATCTCCAAATAGTTATTCATGCACCATTGACGAATACCGCTGAAACTATTTGTAGAATAATTTTATCATCTGGATTAGAATTACTTACAACTGAATGTCGTCAGCATACATGTGTATATCACAATACAGTACGACTTGAACTACGTCAGTCGTGTATATAGACAATAAACCTGGACAATGGCGGAGCCTTGAGGAACACCAGAGAGAAGAACAATTACAAACCCCGTCATAACTAAGTTTAGTGAGGCATGGTAAGTCAAGTTAAAATTGAAATTTTAACATCACAAAATCCACGAAGGTTATCATCAATTAAAGAATAGTTAAGAGGAGCAGAGAAAATTTTTGCGAAAAACTGACTGTATAGATGGTAGAATATTAAGGTTAAATATTTCAGTAATTGTGCGATCAGACGATGCATAAACACCTAAAGATTTTAATTTATGTCAGTTAGATTGCTGATTTCGTCCACAAGAACCGAAACAATGTTGAAAGGATGTACATTTTTCATTGAATAGTGCGAAATTAAAAAAAGGTTCTTACTTGAGAGAAATATTATTAGCTTTACGTTTAAGTGTCTTAAGGATTTTAAGAGAATGAGTAAATGGTTTAAAAACTCTTATTTCCACCCTAAGTTCTTTGATTTTTGAAGTCCTATCCTTAAAATCAAAATTCTTTGCGTATCTTAAGCATAAAAAAGTTGTTTTTCAAGGTTTTATTGTTCGATTTTCAAAACCATAGTAAGGATTAAAATAGAAAAGAAGTATAGCTATAGTACTACCTTGACTATTAATTGATACTAATATAGTTAGGAGTGCGGTAATGTAATAACTTTATTATTTATAAAATTGACGACAGACTTCTACAATCACAGAAAACTGACCTTTCATAGAAATTGCTAGTTTTTCACAAGGAGCGTATTGGACACAAAATAAAGTGAAGAAACTCTGGAAATGGTATCTAGTATTACGATTACAAAATCAATTAAAACAGTGACTGTGACTGTGGCTGTGGTTTTTATTTGATCACACCAGACGGTTAGCATGTTTGCATCATTTTTACTGTTAATACAATATATATGTAGGTGCACTTTATTATCGGGCACGACCTTCCACGTATGTCATTAGACAAAAATAACAACTATTGTTAAATATATGCCACAAATTGACATCACAACACTATGTACAAACAAGAAACGGTGGTCTTATCAATGGTGATTCAACGATAGTGGTTGGTACTAGTTGAACTTAGTTTGTTTACATTAAATAGTGTGTAAGTAGTATCTACAGTTATAATATTACATTAGAATAAATTTTCATTTCTTGAAATCTTATGAATATTGATTGATTTGTTAATGTAATATATCACAAAACTGCATACGCCAATTAGTGTTACCACCACAATAATGTAGACGAAGAATAATTCAAAAGTAGAATTTCGTCCTTCAAACAACAAAATTTAGATTTTTGAAATTATCTAGTGAAATCTGCAGTTGATGTTATCGTATCTTATTAAATTAAACAAACCACATTACGAATTCTACACAATTCTTTGCATTGTTATTTAGTGTGGATTATTGCTGGTTTTAATATTAAAAAACCTACTGATATGATGTGATCTCCAAAGTAAACGGTACAGTGTGACTATAAATATTTGTTCTTTCAAAATCCCTGTATATTTTCCGCTTTGTTCTGATACTGAGAAAGCTATGCAGCATAACTGAGGCAAACTGTTTAGAAACCCAAATCTTTTATTTGAAAAAGGTGACGAATTTTGAGTGATGATGTAGAGTGTTGTCTTACTTGATAGATTAACACTTATTATCTTGTCCGTTTATAACGTAAATATTATCATTATATCTCCACTTTAACGTCACTTACTATCCATAAAATAATTACTTCCAGGAAGGATTTCGTACCACAAAGATACCGATAATTTACAAGTATAATCGTGGAAAAAACTTGACTTCCTGGTACCTTTGTAGTAATAAATCTCACTAGTAATTACTAATTAGGTACGCGTTTTTGTTATTTAATAGAAGTAAAGTGCCAGAAAATATTTAACATTTTTTTTATATACAGGGTTTTTGTAAATGATTTTAAGGGCGTAGTTGGCCATGGATTTTAAAAAATCCTGTTTCGCCGAAATCATGTCTCATTGTAACAGTTCTCACTTCTCATTAATGTCATTCGTAACCTGTCATTTAAAATCTTCGCCTTTATTGTTCTAACGTTTTCAAGTGTGAATTACCGTACTACTCGTTGATCCAAGCTCAAAATAACAAAACAGTCGTTTTTCGCAAACATCTTTGACAACATTGTTTCAGCAGTCAAGAGTTCCTGCTGCAACATGAAATTGAACAATGGATCCAAAGCATTGACGAGAGGATGTTACAGAACATTTTTGAAATTAAAAAGAGAGTGAACATGTGCCTTGAACAAAATGGTGAACATTTTCAACATTTACTGTGATGTTTAACCACAATAAATTTGCTTCTTTTTGTTGCAATGAATTAGTTTTATTTTTTAATAAGATATGAGGCATTTAGTAAAGTCCATATAAAGTGCTAGGCGGCATGCTTCCATGACCTACTTCGACCCTATAATCATTTATTGAAACCCTGAAGTTTGAATTTCGTCACACATTTTCAAAAATCAAGACTTTCTGTTATTTTCACAGAAAATAACTGTTTTCGATACTACTTAGAACAGATGTTAGCAAGGGTAAAATATATTTTTTATCAATACATGGCTTGAAATACTAAAAATTTATTAAATGAAAAATTACTTCCTGGTTTCCAAATAAAGTTTTACTATCACTTTCAAAAATAGTTTAACGATCAGTGTAGCCCAAACAATAGTCACAGTTCTTATCATCAATGACTTTAATTGAAAATCCTCCGTGAACGACGTGATCAAATGTGTAAATCAAAATGTACAAAATAAAATAGATAACGATATGATGACTAAAGTAGGCGTATCTGAATGAATGAATGACTTCAACAACATCCATCCGCCCATAGCTGCATACAGACAAACATCACAAAAAAAATTCTTAACAAACTTTAAGTGAAGCAAGAAATTGTAACTACCAACGACACATCTACAAGAATTTTGTTGACGTAGACTTTTTTCTGCAATTGCAAATTTTTAGAAGATATTGAAGGACCTAGAGTTACAATTATGTAAAATCCGTTAAATAGATTGTGGTCTTTGAGGCAATAAATAACAATCAGTGGTAAACTAGTGTCCCGTTTTGTAACATTTGCTGCAATTTTAACAATAATAGTCATGTGTTCCAAGCAAGTGGTCATAAATCCAAGGACAGAAACAATCGAGTTTATGAAGCTGTCGAAAATTGGTCTAGGGTCAAGGAAACTTGATATTCTGCAGAGAAAATTAAAAATTTTTGATGTCAAGCCAAGAAATCTATATGTCAAGGATCCAAATCGATAGTTTTCTCCGAGAAAAATACTTTTCTTAATGTTGAAAATAAGTAGACATTTTATGTTGTCTAATTTTGTGAGAACGTATTACGTAGTGTAACAATATTCTGTAGCTATAATGAAAAACAAGTCAACTTATTTTAGCATTCAATATCATGTTTTATGTAAAAAAAACCGCTGGTGACTTGCATACTTGAGGGAAAATTCCAAGTGAAAAATCATTTGGCTTACTTAACCTTACAGAATACATAGGTGATTGTTTACGCTGTAGTTATGTCATTTTATAGTGGGTACAAATGCATAAACATCAGCGAGGGGTATACAGAAGACTGGAAAACGAACATAAAAATTAGTACCCACGATACTTCTAACTGTTCGAGGTCTGAAATAAGTAGTTCTAAAATATATATAATAGTTTCTAGCAGAAAAAAGTGTGCATCATTACCTGGTATAATGTGTTCAAAATCCAGCCATTAATATTACGCCTTGTTATAATTTAATGTGTGTATAATTTTTTTTATTTTTTAATAAACAATAAAATTCAAATCGAGATATAGTCTTCAAGAATTGTCAAAAAAGCATAACATCTACAAAATATCAGATTACTAATACTACTTAATATAAAATCGTTGCACCGAACAGATTTGAATAACGTGGTCGGGAAATTCATAATTACATTATTGCATTTGGTAGTGTAGAATTTCCAGTTGGTGGTTTTTTCCTTTGTCCACTATGGTGAGACAGGTGAAGACAAAGATGAAATTACGGTGCAAAAGAATACAAGTTATTTATCCTTGGTGCCTTCAAAACTACCTTCCTCATTATATAACAACCGTAACTCTAAATCAACTTTTTTCCAAAAACCTTTATTACATACGTTGCACGTGTAGAACAAATAAATATGCAAAAAGTCTGTTGTATTTGCAATTTCAGAACGTGGAAATGCAACTGTATCAAATTTCTTGGCAAGTGAAATTGCGCTTAATTTCTGAGCGCGCAAGCGCATCATCGACAGGGGTTGGTTTTAAAATAATAAAGATACGAACATAAAAATTTTATCAGATCTTACAACTTTTGCAAAAATTGTTCATTTTAAGAGATTGGCAGCTGAATTTATGCTACATTTTTAATAGACTTCGTGGTGGGATCAAGGTAGCAGTTAATTTGATGGAAATTAAAATTTAATTTTTAGTATAATTCAAAATAATCCACTGTAGACAAGGCCAATTAGGATACTCCTGATACTCCTGATACTCCGACTTTCTCTTAACTTATGAATCATCTAGATTTTTTTACATGATAAAAAATCGCAACATTTAAATCTTCGCGTCCCAAAGTCATGCTATTTTAACTACAAACAAATGTTTCGGAAGATTTCAAGGTTAAATTTAGATGCCACCAGTCGTCGGTTTGTCAAGCATAAATCCTCACCGTTTTTATTTTCGTATGAAATCATCACGAAGTATCAACACATGTACATATACTTGTGCACAACTTCAGCGCAATGCCTTTTTTAAACTCATAAAACGTGTGAAAAAATTTCTTATGTATGACGTATCCACATATTTTAATCTTTTGGGAAATACCTACTCGCTTATCCACACTTCTCGCGGAAATAATATGATTACGCTGGTCAAGTGTTAGCGGCACCAATTTAACGCTCAAACTATTTTTATTGCAACATAGGATCGCTTTACTTGAACAGAATTTTACACTTACCTGTCTCAAGAATTACTAAACACACGAAGATTGCTACGAACTTTGCCATTTTGCACTGGTTTTAATTGTTGCAAAAGTTTGCTGAGTCTGAAGAGCCACTTTCCCTGAGCGCCACCACTTGAATGCCGGTTGCTGGCCGGCGAACCGACGTTGGCATGCATGAGTTTTCGCGTTGGTGTAACCAAGATGTTGACTATTGGCCGGTTTAATTGGCGCTAATAAAGCTGCTTTTTAAATAATGTTGTTGCTGAGTCGATGAGAAGATTCGCTGTTTTGCAGAAGTTTTATTTAAATTTACAATTTTTCTCGAAAGTCGAAACCAAAGCCGCCATTTTATCTATACAGCAAAGTCTGGAGTTTACAAGCTGCGTAGTGGGGATTCTTCAACATCTTGCTAGGACATTAATTTAAAGGTTATCGAACAAATGCATGTATTCGTTCCCTTCGGAGAAGTCATGACGTTATTCTAAAAAAACATTAGGTAAATTTTTACTGAGAAATACTTTCCACAGTGTGGTACTTATTGATTAAAGAGGATGTCTCAAGGAAATTAATGATTGGACGTGTTCATATTTATTGATTGCTTGTCTGAGAAACGACACACTTAACCTCCCTGAAATTTTGAATGCGATGGTAATATTTAGTGTTGCACTGGATGTGTAATTAATTTCCCCTAAAAATTTGGTGTCCACATCACAAATTTGCTTCAATCATTAATAGTCCCAGTAATTTACTCTTATAAGTAAAATATTTTTATTCTGTACGTCGCAAGTGCCAAAAGAACTTTTTTTCCACCAAGATAAGAGTGATTTTGGCAAATGATATCCCTTTAAGAAAATAAAGGGCGAGTGGATGGGGCTAGTATTTCTAAAGATAACACTGATTTTGGCCAATGATATACCCTCCATGAAAACGGAGGGCGGGTGGGCGTTACTAGTACTTCCCATGATACGATTGATTTTGGCAAATAATATACCATCTACGAAAATAAACGGTGGGTGGGTTGGTGCATCTATTATTTGTAATGATAAGACTGACTTTGACAAATGATATACCCTCTAAGAGGAGCATTTTGTCCATTTAGTCCAGTCTTAGTCATAGATGTCACGTTTTTCCCTCCAGGTCACCCAAGCAGAGTTCAGGGGAGGTAGGGTTTCCTCACTAAGACGAATCACATCATCTGTGTAGCTGTGTAGGTGTAGCTGTCAACAGAAATCTTGTGTTCGACACGAGGCCAAACGATTCTGTTCTTGTTTTCTTTCAGCACGCAACTAGCTTTGTTTAGAGTAGAGTTTTTCCGTAGAAAAACACAACCATGGTGTGGACGACTATGATGTAACTGAACCTACTTTGCCACTCGTTCATTTATTTGTAATTGTGTTATTTTTTTCTCCAACACGAATCTGGGTAGAACTGTTCTAACATTTTTTTCTTTTCATGCACCCGACAAACGCTTCGAGGAGAACTGGAACATTTTCGTCAAAGAACACGAACGGCCACCACCAGGAAGGAAGCGTCTCCGCTCGTTTCGCAAGCTTCACTCTGAAAGCACTTGGGGGCGACTGTGGTGACCGAATTTAAATCAAAGTTTTCGCGCTGAAATTCATTAACAGCGGCGCGAAATCACATTTGAATAATTTGAATTAAAAAAAAAAAAATCAATAACGAAAAGGGAATCGTTAAACATAGGCAACCAAATAGACATGTCGAGTTTTAATGCATGATCATTAGACAGCGGATTTCTGTCGGGCTACGTCACGATTATAGGTGGGGACGCGCTGGATCTCCGGGACTCAGTAGCGGGTGATAGATAATCACTGAATTTAATTGTCACTTATTCCATAAATACAATTAACGATTTATTAATCAAGTGGCTAAGTAAATGAGAACGTGAATTAACAGCAGAGTGCAACGAAGCAGCGTTATTCTAATCTCAAATAAACGAAATGCAACCCGTAACTGCAATGAATTCCCATCCCATACGAGCCGTACCGAGTTTGGTCTTGCCTAGCCCGACAGAAATCCGCTCTCTAATGATCATTGAGTTAGGTGGCAGCACGTAGCGCTAGGGTGATTTCAGTTATAGGGTTAGTAGAGAAGCTGCATGGCTTAGATTCATTCTGAATGTGCTGGTGTGAGTGTAAACACGTGGTAAGCGCTAGGATTAAATTAGTTGGTTTGGTAGTTAATAAAACGGAAGGAAGCCTTTGTTTAACGACAATCAAACGTATTTTTCATAATGACGCAGTTGTCCCCAACCCGCGCGGTTAATTCTTACGGCCTTTTAATCGGAGAAATGCCGACTTCCGGTCCACCGAAACACGTGCTGTAAATTTGTTTCATTGTTTGTAAATTCACCAATCAAGTTAGTTTTTCTTAATAGTCAGCTAGTGCAAACACAATTTAACAATCAGGATTATTTAAATAAACCGCTTGCTAGAAGATTTCATGAAATTCACTTAGTCAGAAAAACACCTTATTGTTTAATTACGAATAAGCTTCTGGATGCATATACGTAAGCGTTAAATTATAACACTTCTTAATTCTTCACACAAGATTGCTAATAATTGTTCATTTACGGCAGTTAAACAAGTTCATTATACTGCGAACTGGCGAGGGTTATGATATTTTCTTCCCTTAGGTGGTTATCATCGTTATCATGATTAATTCATCGGGGCATGCCTCACAACGCCACAGATTGATTAATTAATCAAGGCATGCCCTTTTAAAATTTACATCACCGAGTCGCTTTTTCCTCGGAGCGATGATTGGATATTTTTGTATTTGTTTATTATGTGTTTTGTTGGGGTAACCAGTTCGCGGTATTTTAAACTCTCAAAGTAAATTGTTTTTTTTTTTGAAGTAACCAATCACTTAGATCATGATATAATTTGACATAATGTAAACTCTTTGTTGGAATCGTTGATAAAGTGTGGCAATTATTAATCTCCTGTAAATTTTGTTAACTCTACAATTTTCCACCTCAAACAATATTTCTTTAATCTCACAATTTTAACCTCAGTAATTTTGTTATTGTATAATTTCAATTGAACGCAAATTTCATGTTCTACAGTTTTATCCTCACATAATATTTTTATTTGTACAAGTTTATTACACACCAGATCTTCTGTTTGATAAATCTTTGCTGAATTCTGTCTTGTAAATACTTTGCTGATGAATGTTTCTGTCATATAAATTATTTCATGTTCAAGTTTAATCTCACATAAGAATTATTTGTTGTTTAAAATTTCACAAGATTGTATGGCGAATCTAAACGTTGTTTATTGCTCTTTGAAACTTTAACACTTGTTCAGTTGTTGTTAACATCAGAGTTATAAGAGATTGAATATTTTAAAATGGAATTGAGGTTAAATAACACAGAAAACGTGGCAGAAGCGAGGTTCGGTTCCTAGTCGAGCTGGCGAGATTTATCGTGTCACCTGTTCAAGTCCACAGGTTTGGATAGATTCAGGGGGGGGCGCCGATTTTGTAAATTTCTCGGCTCTTGCCCATAGTCGAGATCTCTTGCGGGTTGGACGACCGTAATGGCCTAGTTCCGCAGGGCACGTTCGTAATGGAGATATGCGTGTGGGGTAGGCTTTGCGATAGATAGAATCACCGTCGTGGGGGGAGAACAGCTCCAGACCGGTAGCCCAAACTCCGCTTATGCTACAACGCCCCAGGGGTACTTTTGATGTGCTCCTGTTAACTGCCGTAACTTAAAAAAAAAGATCTGCCGCCACACGCCCGTAATAACTTGTGTATTTGCATCCAGTTACTTAATTCAGATTTTGCTTTGTTTTTATTAAATTTGTGATTGTGAATATTTACATTGATTCCAAACAGATGCATAGAATTTTCCGTTTGTTCATTTTTTTCATATGTGTATGTCTGTCAATTCGCGAGTGTTTTCTTTCATATATCTTAAGGTGTTTGAAATGTAATATGTCCGGGAATAAAACAAAGGGGGTTTTTGCGCTGAGGAGTAAATCTTCGCAGCGTCTTTGCTCCGGTGAGGGGGTGCCGTGCTCCCCCCTCCAAAACAATTTTGTCTATTATTTCTTGCGCTCTCAACTCACATGCAGTATATGCTCACTTGTATGAAAGAACGTCTTCCCGCCATTTTTCAAAAGCAAAAAAAAAACCACACAACGTAGGTTCCTATTTGTTAGACGATCACAGCCAAGGCCAAGCTTTTGAATTTTTAAATTTTTCGCGGGCCTTTCAAACTTTTTCAAGGTCATTTAAAGGCGGGAAGTTTGGGTTATCACAATATTAGTAAGAATTAGCCCAGTCCACCCCCTCTTTATTTTCTTAGAGGGTATATCATTTGCTAAAATCAGTCTTATCTTTACAAATACTAGCTCCACCCACCCACCCTTTATTTTCTTATAGGGTATGTCATTTGTCAAAATTAGTCGTATTTTAGGAACTACTAACCCAGCTCACCCCCCCTTTATTTTCATGGAGGGTATACTAGGGTAAGGTTGCCGATATCGCACCGGTTCCTAAATCGCACCACCAACAGTTTACAGTAAACTATCAGCCAAACTTGTCATCTATCGATAATTTTAGAAACTAAATCAAATTTACCGCCGACAGTGCAAGAATCATATAGGAAACTTTATTCTGTCATAACTTCCAAGTGAAAAGTTTATTTCACGATAAGTCGAACATAGTTTCAGACGGTGTATGTAACGAGTTACTGAAGAGGTGAGTGTTTATTATAAACAGTTTTTTGCGTATCACGAAAGTACATAATGTGTTTCAATTAGTCCGTACACTAAAATGAGTATTTTTTAAGGGGTTAACGTTATCTATAATTTTGTGTTTAAAAATGTCCAGTTTCCTAAATCGCACTTATTGGAAGTTTCCTAAATCGCACCGGTGCGATTTCAGGAACTTGCCATTTCTGTAAACATTTTTTTGTTTTCGTAAAGATTTAAGAAAATGGCCAAGAGCCAGTATGGTTTATGGGATCCACAAAGTATGATGCGTTGTATAGAAGAGTATAAAAACGGACAAATAGGGTTAAATAAATGTTGTGCTAAGTGTGCAATCTATTGGTGGTACCCATACAGAAAATAAGTCCACTACCAAAGGGAAGCAAACGATATCAAACACAAAGAACCAAAGGAG